GTACCAGTTGAAATAATAAATAATAGTCATAAAGCAAGAGTTTCTATCAGTAGCCTTTTGATTTATTGGCCCACAAAGATCAGCATGTAGAAGATCTAGAGGCTTGGTGGGTTGTCTCTCAGAAACTGGAGGGTGTGGAGCTCTAGTGGTCTTTGATTTCAAGCATTCTATATACCTTTCGTTGTTGGAACATGCTTTGAATTTAAAGTCTCTTGCAAGCTCTTGATTGGCCAGTCTCCTAATATTTTCCACAGTTTGATGAGCAAATCTGTGATGCCATAAAATTGAACAGTCCTTGTGATTACATTGAGTCACACTGTTTGCAGATGAATGCAAAATCTGCATTTGATAACAGCCATGAGATCCTAAATCTGCTCTAAAATTTTTTTTTTTTTGTCATGAAAACCAAAGCAGGATTGCTTTCTGAAACTGACAAGGTTGCCTCTTGATGTTGTGGTTTGTACCTTATAAAAAGAGGCTTCTAAAAAATTGGCACATAATAGGTATAAGGGATTTGTAAGGTCCCTATCCTGTTAGGACCAAGTTTTGTTTGCAAATAACCATCCCTTTTCCCTAAGCAAAATCTTCTTGACCAATAGCAGGATAAGCAGGTAATCCACAAACCATTCTTTGTTGTTGAAATAATGCACAGTTGCTCCACTGTCCACTAGAATTGCATTTTAATATTACCTCCATCAATTTGAAATAATTGTTTATGAATCAAACCAATATCAACATGATTGGAAGATCTCTGTTTAGGATTAAAAGCTGTTTTCTTAAAATTGACTTTTTTCACATTTGTTTTTTGCTGCTCAGCTCTTGGCTTTGCTTTGTTAACATTGTGTCCATTTGTTCTGGGAGAAGAAGAGGCTTTGATATACAAATGCTCATTAACAAGTTGGGCTAATTCTCTGTCTGTGGCTTTTATATCATGGGGGGATGCAGACAGGCAGCTCTGGGCCACCCCGGGAAATGGAGGATCAAGGCCGAGGCTACCGGATGCATCGGCCCCGATCCACCCCTTTGCTGTCTTGGAAAGGAGCACCAAAATGACGCTCCTTTCAGAAGTGGCAAATAGGCCACCCCAAGAGCTGCCACATGGCCCTTTGGTGCCTCTTCCAGTGCAGCACACCAAAATGCTGTGCTGGAAGGACATCCTGATGCCACGCGCCATGCATAACAACGCGTGGCATCAGGATGTCTTCGGGGAGGGGTTGTGGTTCCCATCATGTGGCTGCCCCTCCCCTCCCCTGCCTCCAAGATGGTGCAAAGTGCTGTCTGTAGAGGCCCATAGTTGCCTTCCATCAAATTCAGCCTATTTTGAAATTCAATAATTTGAGCAATAGCATCTTGCAAAGGAACATCTTCTTTAACTTGCAGAGCATTAATTATTGGAGAGTAATATTTTGGAAGGCTAGCCAAAAATAGTCCAAGTTTTGCATGTTCTGAGAAAGATTCCCCAGGTGATGTTACTCCTGACAAAGCTGTTTAAAGTTGTTGATCTGCTGATTCAAAAATCGAGGATGAGACAACTTTGTGTTAACAAGTTTTATCATGAAAGCTGTTTGATTAGAAGTACTAGGAGAATCGAATACTTTCTGTAGTTTATCCCATATTTCTCTTGCATTGGTCAAACCTTGGATATGGTAAACTATGCTGGGATCTATAGACAGGAAGATGTATGCAGCTGTTTTCTTTGCATTTTTGTCAAATTGTTGATGTTGTTTTCCTGCTTCTGTGGGTCTCTGCCCATTCACTGCTTTAAATAATCCCATTGTAATTAAGTATATTTGCATTTTTCATGACCACTTTTTATAATTTGTGCCAGTTAATATTTCAGTGGTCATTGTGGGGTTAGGATTAGCAGAAGCCATTATCTATTGTTTCAGTAGTAAAGACTTTGGTGCAGCCTTGAGGTCTTCAGGAGCATGTTTAAAAACAAAAGAGACTGGAGCCTTATAATCCAAAAGAACATCATATCAAAAGCAAGATTGGATTCAGAAGAGGGAGGCAAAAAATGGGAGGGAGGAACACCAGCAATCTAAATTATGCAGATGACATTGTAATACTAGCAGAAAATATCAGAGATATGTAAATATTGAAGAAAGTCAAGGTAGAAAGTGCAAAGGCAAATTTATAGCTGAACATCAAGAAAACAAAATTATGACCACAGACAATTTACATAATTTTAAAGTAGACAATAAAGAGCTCGAAATAGACCAATATTTTCCATACTTGGGCTCAATCAACAATCAGAGCCGAATCTGCAGTCAAGAAATCAGACAAAGACTAGGACTTGGAAGGGCAGCTATGAAGGAACTGGACAAGAACCTGAAGTGTAAAGATATATCATTAAAAACCAAAGCTAGGAATGAGCATGCCATCATATTTCCCATTTCTATCTATGACTGTGAAAGCTGGATGGTGAAGAAACCTGATTAGAATAAAATCAATTCATTTGAGATGTGGTGCTGGAGAAGAGTTCTGAGAGTACCATAGACTGCAGTAAAAGGTCCTAGAACAGATCAGGCCTGAACTCTCACTGGAAGCAAAAATAACTAAATTGAAGTTGTTGTATTTTTGGCATATCATGAGAAGAAAAGACTCACTTTAAAAAACTATAATGCTTTGTAAAGTGAAGGGCAATAGGAAAAGAGGAAACAGCATTCCAGATCGATAGACTCAGTCAGAGAAGCCAGCCTTAAATCTACAGGAGCTGAGCAGCGCGGCTGAGGACAGGGTGAATCTGAGGTCTCTCATACATAAGGTCACCATGGGTTGAGGTTGACTAGAAGGCAGTTAACAATAACAAAATTTTCTTAATTTCCCTACTTCTAAGATTGGCACACTACTTCAAATATTGGCATACTAATACATCATTTTTCAACTTGATATGTTTTATATCAATGAAAATGTGAATCATAATTTTCTTTTTGATGAATATATGACAGTTAAAGCAGTGTCAAACTGCATTAATTCTGTAGTGTGGCAGCAGCATTAGTCTCAAGAAAGTGTGTTCAGGATTCCACCCTAAATAATACCCTTGATTAGTCTGGCAAAAATAAATAATTTTAATAATTTTTAACATCAGTGCTATAAATTGCAGATGGAAAATCCCATCTAAGAAAAAGCATCTCCTTCTCTCACACATGTAATGATAGTGGCTGATACATCACACATGAGCATTGTCTAAAAAACAAGTAAGGCTGCAATCCAGTGTGTATGTATGTGTATATATATGTATATATATATATATATATGTGTGTATATATATATATATATATATATATATATATATATATATATATATATATACATACTGTATCTATCCTATCTATCCTATACCTATAAGAAATAGTCTCCATTAAACTCAGTGGAATTTAGACCAGACATGCATAGGATTAAACAGTAAGGCTGCATTCCTATACATGTTTACCTGAGTGTAAGTCCCATTGAATTCGGATAAGATCATTTCTGACTAAACAAGGATAAGACTGTGTTGTTAAGATGCCTTCCTTCCTCAAAATTGCCTATTTGTTCATATGAGCATTTGTTCAAATTTAGCCATTTAATGAAAGCGTGAACAATTAATCAACTGTCCTCTTTTTAATTGGCTGGTAAAACTAGTTTTCCTGTATGTAAAAGGCAGTACCCTAAAAACCCCATGAAGCCAATGAAGACTCTAATTGATTTAAATGGAGCAGAATGTTATTGTGTTTTAAAGGGGATATTTTACAAACCCTGAGGGAGCCAGATTCAGCCTTGGTGTAAACAGCTCATTGGAGCCAAGGGAGGAATCTGTTTATTTCAGGTCTCTCCAATTCAGTGTGCTTGGGAATGGAAACATGAGCCATAAGGAAGGCCAATGGAAGCAATGAACAAGTGGTTGGATCTTCCCTGGGAAAAGCACAACAAAATCTTTTTGCTGAATGTTCTATGTTGTTGTTGTTTTCTGTTGGACTAATATATTATCTTCCTTTGTTTTTCCATTCCCACATTATTACTATAAAATAATCCTTTCAAATGTTTATTAATTCTATATACAGATATGAGTAGCTTGAAGAAAACTAAGAGGTGATATCAGTATGTAAAGGAATCGTGTAGCAAGTTTGAAACTAACTGAAAGAAAGAAGTTGGTAGACCAGATCTGAAGAAATAGGCTCAAGTCTATGGAAAGCTCATGCTGCCAATTTCTCTTTCATTTCCTCTCAAAGGTGCTACACAATCCCTTTGCATATTGATTTTCCCGTCTTTGAGAGGTGTTATGATAGCCATCTGTAAATACCTGAAGTGATGTCATATAGGAGACAGAGAGATCAGAACATGAACCAACAGATTTTAATTACAAAAGCTTCCACTTAAATAGTAGGAAGAACTTCTTGATTGTAAAAACTGTGGAATAGGCTGCCTCTGCGGGCTTTGGACTCACCTTCTTTGGAGATCTTTAAACATACGTTGAATGGCCAGGTTTTTGGGAGTGCTTTAGTTGGGTATTCCTGCATGGCAGGAAATTGGACTAGATGTCTCTTGTGGTCACTTTCAGCTCTGTGATTCTACAAAAGATGGCCAATATTCTGTATCAGTGTATCAGCTGCTTAGTTAACTAAACAACCTCTCCTGACCTGACCTACCCCCAAACCTGCTGGAAAATGGATCACAGCTGCCTTCTCCTCCACTGCCTCCTCCTGAAGGTGATGCCCAGAAAAGTATGTTGGGGAAAAAGATATGATTATGACAATAGTGTCATAATTGTGGCTAAGTAGCAATTGTGAATATGGAACAGTCACTCAGATGTGTTCATCTATAGTTATCCGATATTCATGATTGCTACTTAGCATTTCTTGTTATTGCTGCTGCTGCTGTTGTTATATGTTTTCAGGTCATTCCAATTTATGATGACCCTAAGGTTTTCTTGACAATATCTGTTCAGAGAAGGTTTGCCTTTGCCTTCCTGAAGCTGAGAATGTGTGACTTGCCCAAGGTCACCCAGTGGGTTTCTATGGCTGAGCAGAGATTTGAACCCTAGTCTCCAGAGTCTAAATCCAACACCCAAACCACTGCACCACGCTGGCTCTCTACTTAGTATTTTAGTATTTTAAAATTAGTACAATATTTTAAAATTGCTGACAAAGATAGACCCACTCTGCCTGGCAGCAGCTCCCAAGGTGTCAGGCATAGGGCTTTGCCAAGCCTACAAAACTTACTTTTTTGGACTGCAACTCCTTCTATTAGAGTGGCCACAATGGCTGGGGATTCTGGAAATTGCAGTTCCAAAATTATATTTTTCAAGCGTTGGTCAAATCATAAAGCTAAGGGGTGGGATGGGGTTGAGGCTGTGACATCTGTACTGCACCTGTACTGTGGAAGAGAATTCCATGTACGGAGTGTGTAAATCATGAAATTACTTCAAAAATTCAGCAAGGTGCAGTACAATTTGTATCCATACTGTGAATGTCTGGAATGGATTGGCATGGCATAAACAAAGTGCAGTCAGGCCCTATGATTTAATTTAATCTGGACTGCATAAATAATCCAGGTTGACACCACTTTAACCGTTATGGCTCAATGCTATGGAATCCTAGGAACTGTAGTTTTGAGAGAACTCTGATGCCACAACAAACTACATTTCCCAGAATTTCATAGCATTGAGAAATGCCAGTTAAAGTAGATTCAGTGCAGATGCAGCCTTCTGAATTTTGGTTGTTGAAGTAGTAGACATTGTAACCAGGAAGGTCGCCATTTCATTATATAACATATATTTACTATTTCTTTCAGGGCATTCTGGTGTATATAAAGCATTTACAAAGATTTACCAGTGTTCATATTCAGATAGCCTTATACTACCATAACCATACACCAAAAGCTGTCGACTCTGTTCATATTTCACCATAACCATATTTTTCTACAAAGAAGGAAAAATGCAACTTTAAAATTTCATGTTATACTATTATCTTTATTTAGACCTTAAATCCTTGATTTTGAGAAAAGCCCAACCTCCTGGGGAGCGAAAAAAGTCTTGTTTCACCTTGCAAAATCTCTGTCAGAGGCCTTGGTATCCAGGACTATGTATACTCTGTAATTCTGTAAGTACAAAATACAAAATTGATATTGATGACCAAATCATTTTATAGTGTTTAATGTGGGGATTTTTAATTGTTTTAAAACTTTATTGTAAATGTTTTTAATTTCTTATCTCTGGAAGCCGTCTTGGGTCCCACCCTGGGAGAAAGGTGGCATATAAAATAAAATAAATAAAGGACTAATTTTGATTATCTCTCCAAACCAATATCAATGCCTGTAGGAAGCATTTTATTTTTAAAATAAAAATAAATCTCCCTGGGAGAAAGGTGGCAAATAAATAAATAAATAAATGACTAATTTTGATTATCTCTCCAAACCAATATCAATGCCTGTAGGAAGCATTTTATTTTTAAAATAAAAATAAATCTCCCTGGGAGAAAGGTGGCATATAAATAAATGAATAGATAAATAAAAGGCTAATTCTGATTATCTCTCCAAACCAATATCAACATCTGTAGGAAGCATTTTATTTTTATAGGGTTTAGGGTTGATTTTACTGTATTGTATTTTTATGTTGGAAGCCGCCCTGATTGCTATGCAGAGGGGTGGGGTACAAATATTATTATTATTATTATTATTATTATTATTATTATTATTATTATTATTATTATGAGCAGTCATGAAAAGCCACACTCAGTTTTGTGCCACAGACCTAGGTCATAACTGTACTACTCGGATATATCCGTTTTACATCACTTTAACTATCACAGCTCCCTGCTATTGGATCCTGGGATTTGTAGCTTGAACAGGACCTTACAATTTTCTGTTACGGTGTTCTAGTGTCTTCCTACAGAGCAGAATTCTAATTTTCACTCCAAACTATGATTCCCGGGATTCTGTATGATGGAGCAATGACAAGTAAAGTGTGATACTAATATAGCCATGTGGCACTGATATACTCTCTTGTTTAGCTCACTTTTGAGGTCATTCTGAAATCAATCTGTTCAGTACAAATTTTGCTCCAAGAGATTTGAAGGAACAAACCAGATGACAGTCTTGCTACATGTCACTATCATCAACCTAGCATTACTTATTCCTGCTGTGTTTCGTTTGCACTTGTAACACCATGAACTCAGCACTCCACTATAATTTTCCAGACATGTCAAATGGCTTTAGAGTCTTCAAAGGTATGTAGTTTTGCAGAATAAAAAGGATGAAATGCAAGGAATGTATAAGAACTGAGAATATACATCGCCTGTAAAATTCACTTCAGGGCCTGATTTGGCAGTTCAGCAAAAGGCCTGATATGCTTCACAATTATTTGGATGCTGTTCAGTTTAAGTCAGGCCTGAATCAGTTACATGTCAAACCTTCATATTTCCCATTAACTGAAAATCAGCAAAGGGCCGTAGCTTTTTCTGATACCTCATATTAACTGTTATTAAAAATCAACAAATGGGTATAATAGAATGAATCTCTCAAGAACAGTACTCCTTTGTGAGGGGACTGTGTTTGACAATTTCAAAGAATTGTGTGTAGGAATCCCTGTGCTAAATACCTTTACATTTTTATTCTTTAAAAATAATAATCAATAATCAATTGTTTGTTGAAAGAGTTAGATGAAATTTAAGATTCACTTGGGACTTGATCGCTCTTGGGACTGAGAAGTTTCAAGTGTATCCGTGCAGAAAATTTTGCTCAATAGTCTGGGAAATGAAAAACTGGGGGGGGAATTAGGATGAATAAATTACCGGTAGATTTTAGAGCCAACATGGTGTAGTGGTTTGAGCGTTGGACTATGACTCAACTTCCCACTCTGCTATGAAAATCCACTTGATGAACTGGGGCAAGTCACACTCTCTCAGCCTCGGAGGGGGTCAAAGGCAAACCCACTCTGAACACAGCTTGCCAAGAAAACCCTATGATAGGTTAGGTCACCATAAATTGGAAATGACTTGAAGGCACACCACAACAACAACAAGCAGTTTTTGTGTAAGTGAAGTCACTTCCAGTTCCCACCCCCTCCTATGTAGTATAGACATACCTCACCCTAATCCTAATCTTAACCCTAACTCTGAGCTTTGACCATGGTACCAGTTGCTGTTGGGAGTTGTGATCCAAAACATCCAGAAAGCACTGAACTGGAGAGTTGGGAGGCTGAACTAGAAATCAGTTTTGGAAGCACCATGTCTTCGTCTTCTTTGGCAATGAACCCTGGCTACAAGAGGCATTTTTTAAAATTTGGTCATCTCTGTGCAGTGTGACAATACAGTAACTGTGAACAAGGGTGCATCTACACTGTAGAAATAATGCAGCATGACACAACTATAACTGCCATGGCTCATCCTATAGAGTCCTGGGATCTGTAGTTTTGTGAGGCACACCCATACTCTTTGGCAGAAAAGGCTAAAGACCTTGTGAAACTACAGATACTTGAATTCCATAGGATGAAGCTACAGCACCTAAAGTGGTGTTAAGCTTCATTACTTCTGCAGTGTAGATGCACCCAAAGATCATCCTGGCCAGTCTTACCATGGAGAGGGGATGCTACATGATCTCTGCCTCAGTTTAAATCCACATCCAGCTCACAAGATAATTTGGGGTCACTAATTAACTTTAGAGAGCCAGTGTGGTGCAGTGGTTTGAGCGTTGGACTAGGACAGTGAGGGACCAAGGTTCAAATCCCACCTTGGACATGGAAATCTACTGGGTGACCTTAGGCAAGTCACATTCTCTCAGCCTCAAAGGATGGCAATGGCAAATCCCCTTTGAAGAAACTTGCCTAGAAAATGCCATGATAGGTTTGCCTTAGGGTCGCCATAAGTCAGAACCAACTTTAAGGCTCACAATAACAATTAGCTTTATCTATTTTGCTTATAAAATGAGAAAACTTGGAACCATTACTTTTTGTATTAGAGTTTCCAGAATCCTCCAACTAATCACAATCTATGGGATTCTGGGATATCAAAACAGTCAGGGTTCAATATTCTGACAAAACCAGACATACACAGATAGATAGACAGACAGAAGAATAGTTATATTCAGATCTGAGAAAATAATGTTCATATTTTGGTAGGCTTCTGCCCTAATTTATGTTTTAATCTCTCACCATGTTTCACAACATTACCCAGCAGTCATCTAATAAGAATCATAAAATGTGATGCTGTATATTCAAATGTGTTCCTTTTGTGTTTGGAGCACAATGCAGCCAATTTTGTTTTAAAATAGCTGTTTTGGGAAAGTGGCAACTGGATAAGCAGGAATAGGTTTGTACAGTGGGTAAATTTAGGCTTGGCCCCATGCTTTTTTCATTGAGGAATATGTAACCCTTTAATTAGATTGTCACATTCTGTTCTTTAGCTAAATGCACATTGCTTTTTAAAGGAAAATATGTTCTGGAAACTATTTTCAGCCCTTAACAGCTTTTGTATTCCTCCAGACTTTACTTCAATCTGCAGCTCTCTGTGACTAATTGAAAGAGTCAATTATTGTAAATAGGGTTATTGGATTATGTGTAAGTATTTATTGTTTTGTGGTTATCTTGACATAGCTATGCAGTTCTACCGAGGGGTTTACAAACATTTGAAGATTATGCAAAAGTCAAAATGATCCCAGTCTCTGTTACGAATTAGTTGATTAAAGGTTCAGCATAAAGAACATGTTTAATTTCATATTAGAGCAATAAAAGTGTTGTGACCAATCATCGGGCGTTTTCTCAGGAAAAATTCTCATTAACTATAGGAATTGTTGCAAGACAATAATTATTCCCAGGACTGTTCAATGAAACCTTTTAACATTCTATAATGCAAAACTGTATATTATTTCAGTCCTTACTGATTAAATGTGGTTTGGAAAATGTACAATCTCAAGACCACTTAACGTAGAATAGTTATCCCTTACTGTGCTTAAATGCAGTTTCACAGACTAGTAAAAAGTATATGCTCCTACTCAGAGCTTAATTTTTGGGATTCTAACTCCCACAATCCTAGTCTAAAGAGATAACTTATTCAAACTCTGGGCTTTTTTTTGTATTTCTTCATTGGGCATGGTC